ATTCAGCTAAGTTGTGACCACCGGGGTCGTCGAAAAAGGTACCATTCTCCGCAGGCATGATTCAGGTTCGAATCTAAGGTAGTGAATTCACTACTTTGCAGCTGGCTCTTTTTAGAGACCTCATCCACTCCGCTCAAAACCCAAGCTCGTTTGTGGTATATGGTTGAGTTCTGTTGGTATTTTGGTGGTGGATCCCTTCTTATAAGTTGGGTCAAATCAAGCCAGCAACCAGTGGGACTTGAGCCCATGGATATAGTGATGACTCTTCAGAACATTTTTTTTTTCTTTGTTCAAAAAATAAAAAATAAAAAATAAAAAAAGGCCAAGTTGTGTGATTGTCATGAGAACAAGTTGATGGGTGATTGTTTTAACTCTCTTCTGGTTTTGTGTGTTCTCAAATTCAAATTGATCTTCACACATGTTGGATTTTATTAAGATATCACATGAATCTTCCACACAATCTTCCCTTTTTTTGGTCAGATATGACTCATATCACCCCACCCATAATTGTCATGGAATCAAAAGCTCTCAACTTATCTCAAGTGGAAATCGCAGGGAACAATAAGGCCAGTCATTTCACTGTGTATGTCTAAGAAATGTGATATTGTAATTTTATAGAGAGAAAAGGTTTGAGAGAGAGAGAGAGAGACCAAATGGTATGATTTTGGGCAAATTTGTGTGATACAAAATCTATAAATGTATTTCATATTACATATTCTAAAGAGTAATTTGAATTTGAAAAAAATAAAATAAAATGGTTTGACTTTTGAAAACACACAAAAAAACAATACCCACCTATTCAAATCACCTTTTGCTCCTCATGCCAATCACACAAATAATTATATACAATTGTGATTTTATTTCAATAATTTTACCTTTATGACATTTTTATATAGGAGTATAGGATTATGTTTATTATTTTATTTATCAACACAATATTAATACACTATTAATATATATGTGAATGTTTCTAATGCAATACTCATAACTGCATCAACACATCATTTAAATTTGGGGGACTTACCAGCTGGTCCCATGGAAATAGATTAATACCAGTCAAGTCCTGTCCTATTTCCATTTCCAATTTTACCCCTCAATATCACACTACACTTGTGAAGCAAAGAAGCCATCACGAGCTCTCTCCTGCGCGTGACACACACGCGCCTTTTCAAGGGTTCTGTTGCAGAAGAAACTGTGAAGATTTGAAAACCATTCTGAGGCGATTTTCGATTTGGGAATCGAAGCAAACGAAGAGATTTTCGGCGAATCTCTCATCATTTCCAAAGAAATCGGCAATTGTTTTCATACCGATTCTGAACAGATTCCCAACAAATCTTCCACCGTTTCAATCTATATTCCGATTCGGACATCTACTCTTCTTGTTTAGTTCATCTTCAACAAACATGCCAATCAAACATGAGTCGTACTCATCTTCCCTTCTTCTTTCATAACTATAATTAAGTGATAAAATTCGACTTGAAGCTATTTTCAATGTGTATCATACAATATTAATTTATTAGTGATATTCAACTTCATAATAATCATATCTTCATGTTCATTTGCTATACAATGATGGATTCGTTTATTTTTACTAATTCAGAGATAAAATTTGTTATACAATGATAAATTTGCTTACTTTGCCTAATTCAGTGATAAAATTTGCAATAAGAATGATAGATTTGCTTAATTTTCCTAATTGAGTGATAACATTTGCTATACAATGACGAATTTCCTTACTTTGCCTAATTCAGTGATAAAAATTGTTATAACAATGATAGATTTGCTTAATTTGCCTAATCGAGTGATAAAATTTGTTATAATGATGGATTTGCTTCCATTCCTCTTTCATAACTATAATAAAGTGATAAAATTTGACTTGAAGTCATTTTCAATGTGTACATACAGTATTAATTTATCAGTGATATTCAACTTCATAATAATCATGTCTTCATGTTCATTTGCTATACAATGATGGATTTGCTTGCTTTTGCTAATTCAGTGATAAAATTTGCTATACAATGACAGATTTGCTTACTTTGCCTAATTTAGTAATAAAATTTGCTATAACATTGACAAAAGAAGCTGACCATGCAACCTATGTCTATTTAAATGACATTGACAAAATATTGAAAGGTGAAGATTAGACAGGCATTGTAAATTGAATTTGTAACTCATTAAAATAACATTTTAGTTTTTGATTTATATTAATTCCTTGTTTTGTTTTTTGTTTTCAACACAAGTAATAGACGCATATGCAGAACACTTGCTTGCACACAAACAAGGAACAACATCATTCATATTCATTTCAAGTTGCCATATAAATAATACATAGTATATGTCATTTTTTTCAAATATTTATGTATTGTTTAATGAAAAAAATTCTTTGTGATCTCCATGGCATCTCATCTATGCTAGGAAATTATTCAAGAAATATGTTTCATTAGTGTATAACCTCTGTTTGCTTAACTGAGTAATGAATTTTGCAATGCGGTGATAAATTTTGATATGGAGTGATAAAATTTTGATCACAGTGATAAATTTACTTAATTTTGTGGTAGTAAATTATTTAAGCCTTTCTGTTTATGTTGTATGGTTGAGTTCATTGTTGTGATTTTATAATACTTTGTTTGCTTAATTAAGTTAAAAACAAAGTATTATAATTGATATTATAATACAAGTACTCTAATTTATCACTATAAATTGCATACTTGCCACCTATTTAATTTGAAAAAGTTTAAATTAACATTATTTTTTTTATTTATATTAGTTAGCACTTGTTGACAACAAAAGATGAAGAAGCAACAAAGAGAATGCTGAACAAGTTGATGCCTGAAACCATGAAAGGAAGATACCTACTCTTCCCAATCCACCAAAATTTTCATTGAACAATACTTGTCCTTGACATTGAAGAAGGTTCAAGGAAATTCTACAATTCCATAAGACCAAGGGGTGCAATGCATAAAGATCTATATTTCAATGCCAGAAATGAAGTGGTAAAAATGTTTTCACTATCAAACTTACCATTAATCCAATACATCAATCATGATGCATGCTCAATTATACATCTAAAATTTATACAGTGATATATTTTATCATTCTTTAAATCTATTGTTTCTCATTAATTGTTTCAACTGACTTTCTAATAGAACAATTATACAAATCTATATGTTGTAGAGAAAGATTATTGACAAGTACATAAAAGAAGAGAAACCAACTCTCATCGCCCCTGATAAATTTCAACAGGAGACAGAGAAAGTCATCGACAACCCACAATAAGAAGACACTTCGTAAGTTGATCAATAACAAAACACTCTTATAAAAAAAAAATGCAACGAAACCAAATTATAATATTTTGTTTTCAAAATGTTTTGCAGGCTTGATTGTGGAATCATTGTTTGCTATATCATGAGGCAATATGTTTTTAGCAACAACATAATTTCTATTTTTTCCAAAGAAGAATGCAATCAATTGAGAGCCACTATATTAACTATCTTCTTGACTGACCAACAAACTGCTTAACAATAAATAGTTGATGAAAACACTGATGATTTGCCTCTGTAATAATCAACAGATCTAGAAGAAAAGAAAACATTTTGCTTGCTTGTTTGTTACACTAATCAACAGATCTGGAAGAAAAGAAAACATTTTGCTTGTTTGTTTGTTACAGTGTTACAGTGTAACAATAAGGAAACATTGATTCATTTAGTTGTTAGAATGTGAATACTTTATACATTTGGCTTGTTTGGTTGTTACAGTGTTATCTATATTTTGATCATTTTGGTTCGTACTTTACTTCAATGTATATTATAATGCTTGGTTGTTACGATGTTAAAATTACAGACAATACACTAAAAGAAAATTCAGTCTTTTTTAGCTATATTTTTACCACATCTGGCTTTGATATCAGTCTTACTTTATGCTTAATAACAAGTTTGGATCCCTTCATTTACTAACATGAATTTTTTTTTACGCTGATAAATTTATCACTGTTCAAACTAACAAAAATCAACATCTCTCTCTTTCATTTTTTTCCCCCTAATTCAAGTAAACAAAACAATATAAAAAATAATAAACAATTTACCTAAATTGAAAATTAAAACACAAATACTATTACACTGTCCAAATTGAAAATTAAAACACTGTTGCAGTTTGTAGATATTTCCAATTTGGGAATGAATGTAAGAACATGCCATTCTGGGTATATGGAGTGGAGATAAAGTTCTAACAGTAAACCCAAAAAAACAAACCATACATACATTTTAACATTTAACTCCAAGAACCAGTTATTTATGAAGAAATATGATCTTATTCAAGACCTGATGATAAACTGTTGCATCTAAAGCATTTCTTAGACTGAAATTTTGAACAATTTAATCTGAAAATGAATTGTAAACTCGAAATATTTTGCTTCAAGGATCCCACTGATAGTTAATTGCATAGTGGCAGTAATGTAGCACAGATTGGGAAACTTAGTCCCAAGCTACCTACAATTGATTTTTCTTGAGTTTAAGCCACTGATAAGTTTATCACTGTAAAAAAGAACATTTGGTTGGATATGACAATGATAAATTTATCAACTACTGACATAAATGTAATAAACCATCAACCCTTTCCATACAGTCAGTTATAAATTTATCATTCTTAAAAATAACAAAATTCAGCAACCCTATTAATGCTTGATTGTTTCCTTCAGACAATGGTAAATTTATCACTCTTAAAAAAACATAATCCACCAACTTATTCAAACCAACCAGGGATAAATTTACCACTGTATAAAACACCAAAAACATTAACTACATTTAACCAAAATCAAAGAATATAAATCTGTGAAACTTAATCATGTAAAAATATTAACAAAAAATATAATTTCCATTCAAAAAATTCCTCAATCATCCAATGCAACTACCAAAATGATGTATCTTTAAAAAAATACTCAAACATTCAATGCAAGTAACACCTCTCAACTCTCAACAAAAGTAATTCAATTAAAATCAATACGACTAAAGCAAAGCTTCTTTACATGTCTTTCGATTATGAGTTCCCATCTTTCCACACCTACTGCACCTAATTCTCTTGATCTCGCCCTTCGAAGGTATTCTCTCTGTTCTTGGACGTCCAGCTGGTTTCTTACAAAGAGGAGGTAAAACAACGTCATCATCAAGAACTACATTTGGCTTCCACATATTAGGAATTGGATAGATAGAATGCGGACAAGAATCACAATAACTACAAACACGGTAGTAATCATCAAGAAAACAATTCAGATCATTCTCACTCCTCTTTATAGCACAAAAACCATGTTTGCAAGGAAAAGAATCAATTTTCAACAATCGACAAGAACAAGACCGTTTCCCAATATCAACCATAACTGAATGATCCAATTGGATTTCATGAATATCATCACTACATTTCTTAACTATCCATGCCTTTGTATCATTAAAAGTTTCTTCTAACTTTTTCTCTACAAAAAGACAAACAATGCGATTCCACTTATTTCAAACTTCTCTCCTTTTTGAAAATTGCTCCATTAGTTTCACCCATATAACATCAACAAGATTAGTTGAAAACAAATGACGCTTATCCCTAATCCATGAATTAAAAGATTCCATAGCATTTGTGCACATTTCACCATACCTCTTGCCTTGAAAATAAGAATCACACCAACACTCATTAGGCAAATCCTCAAGAAACTTCTGAGCACTACGACCACAACAACCCTTAAATTCTTCAAATAGCTCATTAAACAACTCAATAGTAGGAGCATATGCACATCTACTAAAAAGAGTGAGCAAATACTCTTTAGATTCGCGACTCTTCACTGACAAATAAGTCTGCAAGTTTGTCTTCAAATGCATTAGACAAAAAGAATGAGAAGAAAACGAAAAGACCTTAGCTAAAGCTTTCAGCAAACCTCCATGCTGATTAGTAACAAACATAATATCCCTTCCCGGAGTCAAAATAACAAATAACTTTGACAAGAACCAATGTCAATTGTCATAACGTTCACTATCAACAATGGCAAAACATAATGGATATAAACCTACAAACAAAATATATACACATTATTTGTAACAAATAAAAAAGATTACAAAACAAAAGCAAAACGCAAAGTATATAACATACAGCACCAACCATAAATAACTTTATCACTGTATTACTACAACAATTCAATAGCAACATACAACATATAGAATCAATGCATAACAAATTTATCACTGTATAAATATAAAAATTTAACAAAAGTATACAACATAAATTTATCACTAATTGATTGATTATACGCAATAATCAACACTCTCCAGTAACAAAAATGATAAAATTATCACTATTTTAATAATAATAACAAATAGACACAGAATATACTTTGGTTACCGTCTTTTGCCGTAACAGCCAATAAGCAACCTTTGTGTCTTCCTTTCAAGAAACTTTCATCAAGCATCAACACAGGCCAACAATACTTGAAAGCATGAATACATGCCTCAAAAGCGAAAAACATGCATTTGAAATGCCTTCCTTTACTATTAATATCAAATTTCATATCAAAAACACTCCCTGGATTACAATCATTAGCTACATCAACATACCAACGAAGATCGTCAAATGAAGATGAATAGTCACCAAAAATAACATCCCTTGTTTTTTCAACACCCATCCAAGCTCGCCAATAAGAAACTTCTGTTCCATAATAGTCCTTGCAATCACAAATCACCTCACTAACCGATGTCAAAGCCTTATTACGAACCTCACTTGAAATTAGCCCACCAATCATACTTGAAGTCATCCTAGTATGTTTAATTGTACGAAAAGAAGATCCACACATATGAACATCATCAAATTGTTTAATAACAAAAGTTTTACTAGAATTTTTCACTCTAGCATGCATGTTCCATAAACATCCCAAATCAGCCATTCTTTTACAATGAATAGTGACACTATCCTTGTCATTCTTAATAAAATCAAAATCAAAATCGAAACTAGAATGAATAGAATACTTTGACAACGCATCTCGAAATTCAACAACTCCTTGAGCAAACCTTTGACCCACTCCTTGTATACAATTAACCAACCTATTGGAGAGCAAAGGTTTTCGTTGATTTGAATAAAATGAAGGCAAAAAATCAGTTTCACAAACACTACTACTACTACTACCAGCTTCACCATCACACATCATATAACCTTCACCCAAAGAACAACACTTAACAAAAACATCAATAGGATGAATATCACAAGAAAGTGCGAGTTCAACCATAACCTCCAAATCCTCTTCACTTTGTAGACCATAACAAGAATGTCTAGGCATTGAATACAATATATTCAAAGAACTACCAACTAACTCACTCCACATTGCACACAATTTATATACTAAATCCTTAAAATTAAATCCATCATTATACTTGATAACCAATGTCACACCTCTAAATTTGCACATAAGAAACAAAGAATTTTCCATCACTATAAATCCTGCAACAAACAACAATTATATTTCAGCAAACAACTCAAACAACCTAAAACAAAATCTAATTCAGTGATAAAATTATCAACCAACTCAAACACATCCAAAAACCAACAGTGATAAATTTAACGATTAACACTACCTAAGACCAAGAGCATGAACAGTGAATAAGGCTTACACTTATTGGGCATAGTAACTCGATTTGAATCTTACCATTATATTATGTAACTTTTTCATCTCCTATTCCTATACTCGCTGATAAGTTTATCAGTGTTAAAAAGTTAATCCAGCAACACCCCCAAACTACTCAGTGATAAAATTATCACTGTAGAAAATCACAAACCAACACCTGTGTTCAACCAAAACAATTTCGTAACCAAAAAATAAAAAATAAAAAAATCTAATATTCATTACATATACATATCTCAAAGCTTTCAATATCATAATCAAAATACAAATTCAATCGCAGAAACAACAGAATAACAACAATATCACAAACAAAATCAAAATCACAAACTCAAACTAAAAAACACCAAAACATCGAAATTGGAATCAAAATCAAACATACCAGTCGAGCTCCCTCCACAAAATCGCAAATCACAAAATCTAACTAGACATCACACGCGAAATCACAAAACACAAAGATTCACAGATTTATAAAAAGCAAATCACAAATCGAGCTCCCTCCATGAGATCGCAAATCGCAAAATCCAAATATACACCAAGCGCGAAATCACAAATCACGAAGCTTCACAATAATGCATTAATAAATCGCGAAGTTCCACAGAAATCCAAATCCCAAACCCAAACCCAAACTCACATTACAGTATTTTGATGGCAAAAATCAAATAGAAATGTGCCAATATAGGGGAAAACAAAACAGGGGTAAAACAGGTACCAAAAAAAAAAGACTCCAGGACCTATTGGTGCACAATATCAATATTCAGGACTAAGAAAGGAATAACTATAAAAAATAGGACCGACCAGTAAAAAACCCTTTAAATTTTGGTCAGGGCTTGCGTTCCCATACCTTTACCATGGATGGGCTCAATCGGCATTTATCCATGGCCATGGTTATTCCCTGGTTGGTTCCATGATGGGCCTAATATCGGAATGTCCAAGTTGAATATTAGCCATCCACCCTAATCTGCTTACAACCAACAGATAGCAGAGACTATTAAAGAGAGGTGGATGTAACCAAGTGCCAAATTATTCGCCAACCACAAATCAGGCGGGGATTATGTTTTTTTGAACGTAAAAGTGAGGGCAAGGATACATAATCTCCCTTGTCATCTTGGTATAGGATAATTATACCAACCAACCCAGGCGTATTTTCCACCTGTAAGCAAGGACCCACACCATTGGGTCACTACTGGACGGACGGGCCGGCTATGTATAAAAATAATGACAGTGCAAAAGGGTTTTCCCTGCAGGATGTGCACTAGAGATCCCTTCATCCTGCTTTAAGGAGGCGTGACAGGGCCAATTAGGAGGATAGTGTCTCACCTTACCGTTAAACTAGGGTAATTATATTGATAGACCACAGGTTAATTAGGAGGATAGTCCCACCTCATCATCACACAATCAAAATCACACAACACCCTGCTAAATTTAAAAAAAAAAAAAAAAAGAATCACACAACCAAATACCTTGGTAAAGAAAAGAAAAAAAAGATTATCATATCACACAAATTTCAAATTTTCTATTTATATCTTTGCAGTGCAATCCCATCAGTCACTTCACAAAGTGTCAAACATTGAGGACAATTGAAGTTCCATTACTCAATTTCAAAAACAAATTCATCATTTTGATAAAATATAAATTAATTTGATTAAAATAAATATTAAAAAAATGGGAGCTTTTTTGATAAATCAACTTTCTAAGAGCTTTATTCCATCCAACCCATATTCTTTTTGACTATTCCATTAGGTCCTATTTGAGATAAGAAGACCACAATACCCTTTTCATCTATTTATGTTCCATTTAGTTCACATTATTTTCTTATGTTTCAATAAGTCCTATGGGTGACATAATTACCAAAATACCCCTAAGGTGAATGTTCACACCGTCAATGTGAATATTCATATCGTCAATGTGTAGGGGCCCGGCCCATGTCGATCCTCGTGGGTGTCCGAAAAAATTCGAGTCGGGCCGGGGCGGGCCTGGCCCATTGACAATGTAAATATTCACATTGATATGTTAACATTCACATTAATAGGAGGGTAAAATTGGCCTGCGTCCCGTGGCGGCGCGAAACCCGCCCGCGACCCATGGATAGCCCGAGGCGGGCCCGATCCGGCCCGTTGACAATGTGAATATTCACATTGACATGTTAACATTCACATTGATAAGAGTATAAAATTGGCCCGCGGCCCATGGGTGGCCAAAAGCTCACCCACGGCCCGGGGCGGACTCGGCCCGACCTGTTGATAATGTGAATATTTACATTGACATGTTAACATTCACATTGATAAGAGTATAAAATTGGCCCGCGGCCCATGGGCGGCCAAAAGCCCGTCCACGGCCTGGGGCGGACCCGGCCCGGCTCGTTGACATTGTAAATATTCACATTGACATGTTAACATTCATATTGATAGGAGTGTAAAATTAGTTCGCGCCTCGTGGCTGCCCGAAACCTGCTCACGGCCCGTTGGTGGCCCGAGGCGGGCCTGGCCCGGCCTGTTGACAATGTGAATATTCACATTGATAAGAGTATAAAATTGGCCAGCGGCCTAGGGCGGGCCCGGCCCAGCCCGTTGACAATGTGAATATTCACATTGACATGTTAACATTCACATTGATAGGAGTGTAAAATTAGCCTGTGCCTCGTGGCTGCCCGAAACTCGCCATTTTTTTTTAATTCTTTTTAATTTTTTCTACCAAAATTTTATTATTTTTCACAAAAAAAGACACTAGGTCTCGGCGCGGGCCGGGTCTCGGACCAAGCCTTGAATGGGCCTTAATCGGGCTGATGGGCCGGGCTGGCCCACGGGCCAAAAATTTAGGCCCAGGCCCTAGCCCTGACACAAGGGTATTCGGACTTTGGACGGGCCGATGGTTTGAGCCTTGGGTCGGGCCGGTGGGCCTGGACCTAGCCTCGAGCTTAGGTCGGCCTTGGGCGGGCCAGGCTATTTTTTTTTAATTCTTTTTAATTTTTTTTACTAAAATTTTATTATTTTCCACAAGAAAATACATTGCGTCTTGGGCGGGGTGGGCCTCGGACCGAGCCTAGAATGGGCCTTAAGCGGGCCGATGGGCCGGGCTGAGCTTCAAAGTGATGACCTAGGCCCTAACCTAGGGACTCAAACATGCTCAGGCCCGGACCGAAACGAGCCTGCCTCGGGCCGTGGGCAGGCTTCGAGCAGCCCACGGGCCGCGAGCCAATTCTACATTCCTATCAATGTGTATTTTAACATGTCAATGTGAATATTCACATTGTCAACGGGCCGGGCCGGGTCTACCCCGGGCCGCGGGCAAGCTTCGGGCAGCGGACAAATTTTACACTCCTATCAATGTTAATGTTAACATGTCAATGGGAATATTTACATTGTCACGGGTCGAGCCAAGCTCGTCTTGGGCTGCGGTCGGGCTTCGGGCCGCCCACGGGCTGCGGACCAATTTTACACTCTTATCAATGTGAATGTTAACATGTCAATGTGAATATTCACATTGTCAACGACCGGGTCGGGCCTGCCCTAGGCCGCTGGCCAATTTTATGCTCTTATCAATGTGAATGTTATCATGTCAATGTGAATATTCACAATGTTAACAGGCCGGGCCAGGCCCGCCTATGGGCTGTGGGCGGGTTTCGGGCAGCCACGAGGCGCGGGCTAATGTTACACTCCTATCAATGTGAATATTCACATTGTCAACGGGCCGGGCCGGGCCGGCCCTAGGCGGCGGGCGGGCTTTTGGTTGCCCATGAGCCGTGGGCTAATTTTATACTCTTATCAATGTGAATGTTAACATGTCAATGTGAATATTCACATTGTCAACAGGCCGGGCCGGGCCTGCCCCGGACCGCCCATGGGCCGTGGGCGGGTTTCGAGCAGCCACGGGGCGCGGGCTAATTTTACACTCCTATCAATGTGAATGTTAACATGTCAATGTGAATATTCACATTGTCAACGGGTCGAGTCAGGCCCACCCTGGGCTGCTAGCCAATTTTATACTCCTATCAACGTGAATGCTAATATGTCAATGTGAATTTTAAAATATAAACGTTCATATCATAAAATTGTTAACCGTTCAAAAAATATTTATAAGGGTATCAAAATTAAATATAAGGGCATAAGTATCCAAGAAAATAGTGTAAATCAAGAAAAAAGACTTTATAGAATAAAAGTATACATACATAGGACTAAATGAGTTAAAAAATTCCTTCATGGATTTCTTGGGTTAAAACATTTCTAAATGAGATTTATCAATAATTCACCCTAAAAAAAATATTTTTGAATTTTTAAAAATTATTTCTATAAGATAAAATTATATAAAATTGATAAATTTTTTAGACATTTATTTATTTATTTATTTCTATAAGATAAAATTATATAAAATTAATAAAAATTATGAGTTTGTAATTTTGAATTGTTAGCTTATATATATATATATATATATATATATATATATTAAAATAATACTTTCAATAAACTATTAGAATTTAGAATCTTCTTGGCTGTAATTTTAGTTTTTTTAAGTTTGAGGCGGTGCAGTGCCCACTTACATCCGAAGAGCGTTTTGAAAATCAGGAGAACAAACAAACCAGCCCCATTTCTAAAATTAAGAGCGTATTCTTCATCTTTCAATTAACAAGTGTTCTGACAAGTTATCATCACCACAATCAAAATCATACAATATTCATCACACAAATTTTAAATTCTCTATTAATATCTTTGCAGTGCAATCCCATTAGTTGCTTAACCGAGTGTCAAACGTTGAGGATATAGCTTGCATTTTGTCCTATCACCTCTGTGAGTGTCTCTCTTTCACCTCTGTGAGTGTCTCTCTTCAAGTCCTTTTGTTTCAATTTTTCCCTTTTCATGGAAAACTCTTGGGTTTGCATTGCATACCATATGCATGCATTTTTGTAATGTAATTTTGTGGTTTGAATTATATATTTTTTTGAGCTGGTATCTGTAAGTTCATAAAAATTTACATAATTTTGTAAATTTCAAAACTTTTATGAATAGATTTACACAAATTTGTATTCAACTTACGATTTTTATGATATTACATATGTAAATTTGTAAAAACTTATGTAATTTTATGAATTGTGCAACATTTCCCTTTTTCCATATGGTCTTTCAGCATTCAATCTTGTGTGCAATTTTTTTTTCTTTGTAGGTGTGCGCAATTTATTAGCACTCACTGATCTATTATTTATCACTGAATTTATTTCACTACTTTTATTTTGTGTATTCATGTAATAAACGTATGCTTAAGAAAAATAGCACCAAAGAGGCTCATAATATTTTGGCTTCTTTCATAGTTGCCTGCATGTCTTTCTTTTCTTTTTGTAAGAAAAAACTTATCAACAAAACTATGAAAATTTTCAGCAGTAATTAAATAATTAATAGATTAAAGCTTATTTTGAGACAGATGTGTTAATTTATGTGTTTCTTGACCAGCGTTTTCAAGCATATGGATAGTTATAGTTTCATGGATATTGAAGAAATGTTTGAAATACTAGCTACTCATGAACATGAAGGAATAACAGTGTCTGAAACACTAACTAGTCTTGGACTTGGAGACCTCCGCCCCTCACTCGAGGATACAAATTCACAGCTGCCTTCCCCTGGTGAAAGACCTTTTCTTTTTCTATATTTTTTTTAATTGATCAACACTTACATTATAATTATTTACTTTTAATTACTTGTACTTGTTACAAATGCCGTCATTTTATCTATTTAATTCTTAAAATTTATAATTCCATTTTATATGATTCAATTAAAAACAATTCATCCAAATCAGTAATAATAAAAATTTATTTATTTATTCTTTTGATTAGGGTTCAGCCCCAACGGCCCCACATGTGGCTTCAAATAACAACCTCCACTAT